TGCGGCTAAAGATCATGAGCGGCACTGTGTAGAACTTGGTTTTGTTCGTGTAGCCTCTCATTTGCTAGGACCTTGATTGTGGACACGCTTTTATGTATATTATCCTGACTGGCCTTGTGGCCTCTTCCCAGTGGCTGGACTAGTAGTGCCGCCTTGCTCTTGCCTTGTCTGTACTTGTTTGATTGGTCTTCAGGCCCTTGTCTCAGAGATTGGACTAGTAGTTCCACCCTGAGCTGCTTGTCTCTCACCAGGCACTGCCGCTATCCAGTCTAGGGGGTGTGTCAAACATATCTTTGTATGTTGTTATAGACTATACGGGGTTCTGCCTTAGAGAGTACAACCCACTAGGCTATATTCTCTTGTATGCCATGGTTCTAGTCATTCATTAACCTTTATCCCCAGGTCCGCCCAAACTGTCAGAACTCAGTCACTAACCACTGAGTTAAAAGGGCTTGTTAATAGCGGGTCAGTGCGCCCATAGCCCCCCAGGCTCTGCACTTGTGGCCCTTCTCCAAGGATCTTCTCAAGGGTAACCCCAGCGGGTCACTCGACACCCCCCTTCGCTGGGATAGGTGGAACGAGCGCCTCTACTGCGCTAGCACTGGGAATTGAAACCGAGTCACCAATGTTCTGATACCATGTCAAAACTCAGTCACTAACAACTGAGTTAAAAGGGCTCATTAATAGCGGATCAGTGCGCCTATAGCCCCCCAGGCTCTGCACCTGTGGCCCTTCTCCGAGGATCTTCTCAAGGGTAACCCCAGCGGGTCACTCGACACAAACCACCAATGGGTGAAGACGGTATTTAAAAACTACATGACACTAATCAATCAGCGTGGATTTCTAGAAGAATATGGGGGCTTGTTGGCGACCCTTCGATTCTCTGTCTGTTGGGTTAACCGTATATACCAAAGTTTGATGACCATTGCTCATCATACAAATAACAAGCGCATACTATTGTCTTAAAACTAGGATGTAGGTAGGTCGAGGAGCCATGGAAATGGCGTGAGGTTTTAGGGTAGGAAAGTTGGTGAGAGAAAAGAGAACTAGAAAAGAAGAGAGAGGGATACAAAGAGGGGTGTTGTACCCTCTACGGTAATGTTCAGTAACATCTACCAAGCCTTTACTTATATAATAACTTATATAATTTAACACACCCCCTAGGCTTGGTAGTAGAAGGACCCACATACCCCCACACCCCCTAACCTAGCACCCCCATTCCCATCAGCCACGACGACTCCAACAAGGCCAACCCCAAGGCCTTGGAGATGGCGACGGCGGCAGTCCCGGCAGTGGCGACAGCGACGGCGACGACGGGCGTGCGGCGGCAACAGGCCTGCGGCGACGACAGCGGCGACGGCGACGGCTTCAGCTTACGACGGCGGTGACGGCAGCGGCCCCCGCCCTTCCGGCGGTGTGTCCAAACTCCGCACCAGGGGAATGACCGGCGAGAGTCTGACGGCGGCTGTGGCGAAGAGGAAGGGACAGAGGAAAGGGGGAAGGGGCGGGGCTTTGGATCTTCAGCGCGGCCCCATTGCTGGCGCGGCGCTTATTGGCGAGCGGGCGGGCTGCTAGTCCAGCAGCGACGCAGGTGGTGCGCGACGGCAACAGGCCGACGACACCGCCACGGCACCACTACGACGCCACCACAGCGTGGCGTCGGGGCCTTGGCTGCTCGTCGACGCTGAGACGACAGCACACAGAGGCCGTCGCGACATCTCGGAAAGTGTGCCACGGCGGCAGGCAAACGGAAGGCCGCGCCGGCGGTGAAGTAAGGACAGGTACGCGGCGGAAGCGTGGCTCGTGCGACGCGACGGGGTCAGCGCGGATTGACGGGGCCAGCGCGGCGCGACGGGGCCAGCACGGCTTGACGGGGAGGGAGTGCGCGGCGGAAGCGAGGGGAGCAGGCCCGGGAAGGGAACCGGCTCTGTTACCATATCTTTGAAATAAATCTCCCTGATGTTGTAGAAAACTAAGTATAAAACTATAAATGCGAACACTTGGCAAACCCTCAAGTGTTGGTCCAGGATCTTTGCTGGAATGGTAGACTAGTAAGACAGCGGAAGTCTTGTAAAATGTAAAGATCAAGGTTGAATAACCTGAGTACGTGAACTTGTGAGTAATCAAAGTTAATAATGAAAAAGACCTGACAAGGATTTATAGTTCTAGGAAAAGTACGTATTCGCTAATGTACATGTTCGTCACTATCGCGCTATGCGCCCTAGATGATAATGAAGAGGTGCGACTGTTCATGTGACTGAAACGACTGTCCTATGACGAGCGCTATTTGCTGACGTCATCCTACGGACTTATGTTCTACAGTAAGATTCGATACTAACTACACTTAATCGACTTACAGAAATGCTAAGTACCAATTATATCACAATACTCTTAAGTTAAAACTAGGATCTAGGTAGGAGGAGGAGCAGGGTTCTCTTTACCATACTATTTTTGTTTGATTGTCTGAATCGGGAAACTACAGCTCCTATTATGAAAACATGTTATGTATGAAGTTTTACATAACTGTTTAGTTTGTGCAGGAAGTATATAGTAAAGTGTTCCAATTTCTTGTAAATCAGCTTGGAGCCACTATTTCGGTTTTGCAAATCAGACAATCAGACAAAAAATGTCTGATAAAGAGAGCCTTGAGGAGGAGCCATGGAAATAGCGTCAGATTTTAGGGTAGGAAAGTTGGTGAGAGAAAAGAGAACTAGAAAAGAAGAGAGGGATACAAGGAGGGGTGTTGTCAGGGCTGATTTTATCAGACTATTTTAGTCTGATTGTCTGAAATTTCAGACCTATTTTTTTGCCGATCCTGATTTTTCAGACTTGCCATTTTCTGAATGCTGAACCCTTCAGACTTATATGTTTTTGAATCCTGAGAATCTCAGACTTCGCAGTTTGCGGATACTGAGTTTTCAGAGCGCAGCGCGTACGGACCCTGAGACACACATACTAGTACTGCACCTCCCTGCCCTCACCCAAAAATTTCGTCTAAGTCCCCAAGGGCCAGAGTCAAGTCCTCTCACACATACCCCGCCCCGCAACCTAAAAAATCCGGCTAAGTCCTAGCAGCCAGAGATAGTTCCCCCCAGCACATTTCTTCCCTACTCGCCTCGCAGCCCCAGAAATTCGACCAAGTCCCCACAGACAGACACATCCCTCCCACACCTCTTGCGACCCTAAAATTTCGGCTAAGTTCCCACAGCAAGAAATATCCCTCCCTCAGCTCCCGCAACCCGGAAAAATCGACTAAGTCCCTTGCAGCCATAAAAAAAACCCTCCCACCCCCCGCAACCCGCAATCCTGCTTATTACCCGACTTTTGTGAAGTTCCTAAAAGGGGTAACAAGAAAATCATTCATCTGGATGGCGATTTTTTTATTTTGTTTTTCTGATTTCTCAGACGATGTGAAACTAACTCTGAAAAAACACACTCTCCACGGCTCAATTGAGGGAGTGTTGTTTTCCAACACGACACTTTCAGGTAACTTTGTGTCATTGCTGATTTTACAGTCAAAATTGCCAGTCAATCACAATTTTGATACAAAGTGTTGTGACGGTGTATCGTGTACGAACAGGCCCTGAGGGGGAGAATTCGAAAAGGAGGGGAGGGGGAATCGAGTTCGAGGGGAAAGGGGGAGGGAATCAAAACCGAGGGAAGGGGTGAAGCGAAATGGAGGGGAGGGGGGGGGGGGGGGGAAGGGAGGGGGGAACGAAACGGAGGGGAGGCGTAGAAGCGAAACGGAGGGGAGGGGGGAAGCGAAACGGAGGGGGAGGGGGGGGTGGGGGGGGGGGGGGTGGGTTCGAAAATTGAGGGGGAGGGGAGAGGATCGCGCCCCGGTTGATCGATCTTGGACGTTTATCCCTTGCAACCATCGAATGGTTAAAAAACGTCGAAACGATCGCAATCGATCGTGACCGTCACATTTTTATAGAATTTCAGTTGACCAAACGGGCAGCTGTCGAGAATTTCGCCTAATAGAAACGACTGTTATTAGAATGCGGAATTTACTCTTAGTCGAATGCAACTTAAAAAAAAACTGAAATCCTCTCTCCTAGTTGCCAAATCGGTTTTTTTTTTAACACGCCCTAATGAAAAGGCAATTTTTTGCTAGGAAACTCTGATGAATCCACGTAAATTTTCTTGACGAAAAGCTGATGAATCATGGTACCCTAAAACCAGTCGTGGGGCCTGGTGTGAACACTGGAAATATAAGATTTCGACTTGGGCGCAGGACTCTGAGTCGACATTCTGAACCCTGAGTATTTCAGACTCGTTGACTTTTGGACACTGAGATTTCAGAGTAGCGAAATTTCGAAAAATGACCCTTCAGACTCGGGAATTTTTTGGGGGGGCAAAATCAGAGTGCCTTTTTTTGAAACGTCAGCCCTGGGTGTTGTACCCTCTACAGTAATGTTCAGTAACATCTACCAAGCCTACACTTATAATAACTTATATGCTTTAAAAACTATATGCGAGTATATCACTGTCTAATATGTAGCAGCTGGATCGGTAAATACTGTGCTATTCCAATACCATCCGTTCTCATTTCTTATCCGTTTGTTTCGCGCATTCTTGTCTCGAGCCTCCACCTTATCCTGACATAAGGCTCGAACCCTGGCATGAGCATCGACACGCCACCCATGAGTTTTTTCATACATGGCTCTTCACTTATCATCTATACTGCGCACTCGTGTTTTCTTTGGCAAGATAGTGAAACCCTTGTTTGCCTTCACTCCTAACAAGATCACTGCCGAAGGCTGATGCTAGAATGGAGGATGCTTGAAATGGTGCTTCTGGCGGAGGGCTGACGGAGCGAAACGGCGCTTGTGAAACAGGCTTCGTTGGGAGCCATTCCATCACTTGGTTACCAAATTTGGAACCCATTCTTCTTCGTACTAAGTCCGTGTAACGCCCTGCTGAGTTCGTCAGTTTCGTAGGATTGCAGGGCATTCCATTCCGTAGGGGAGATTGGCCACTGGTTTTAGACTCGTAAGAATACAGCCTTCTCAAAAAGTACACACGGCATGTTGAAATTGCCGTGTGCTTGCATTGCATCCACCAGCCATGGCGACGGCCATGTGTCAGCAGCATCCATCGTCACCGCACAGCTCGCGAGGCTACGAGCTGTCGCCCTTCAGCTCGTTCGTTTCGATGCTGGACCTTTCTCAAGACCAAAGGACATCTGATGGCCGCGATTACGGTAGTTATGACAGCGTTTATGCCATTCCCTACCTCCAAGCGTAGTTTCATGCATCGCGTTCCTCTAATCACGAAGGTGGTGAACACCGCCAAGGTTTGTTACACCGCGAGAGATGGGCGACTCACGAAGTCGTTGTACATAGACCCAGCCGCTCCCTTCTCTGATTGACGTCGGGCGGCGGAGTTAGACTCGCTTGTTTCACGTTTAGGCGAAGGCGGCGTGGGGTACAGGTGCAGCGATGGGCGTGCTAGCGAAGCTGCTGTACATACTAGTGGAGGACGACGACGAGCGGGGGGAAGGGAAGCCTGGTGCATCCTCGTCGGGAGGGAAGGCCGGTCCTCCTACTCCTCCTGCTCCGCCTACTCCCATTGCCTCGTTCCGCTACACCAAGTCGGTGCTGTCCAGCACGCTGCAGCTCATGGGGTGCAAGACCAGGCACGCCGTCAAGGTCAGTTATCTCTTCCGCCGTCACGTGATTTCCTTGCACCTGCGCGTCGACACCACTAGTCCTTTGCGTACGACGTCCGTAATTTTCACCGCGTCATCTCGTTACACCTTTTAGCTTGATGGCTGCTTAGGCTACGTTTCTCTGGTCCCTCGGTTCTCGCCTCGTTGATTTCGCTTCTCGCCGTGCCTTGTCGCTACAGATCAGCGAGCGTGTCTTTCAAATCCTGCTGTCGCAACTCACCAGCCGTCGATTTCCCGGCCATCGGACGGACGTGGCTCACCGATCACGGATGGCGAACGGATCCGACGGAATCCAGCGATTGGCCAAACCGGACCGGGAGTCCGACGCCGTTCTGGCCACCACCGCTGGCATTGATAATAACGATTGTCGTAATAGTAACGGGTGTTGTGACAATAACGAGCGGACTGGGAGCAGAACAGCAGCTGGGGGTGAGATGCCCGGCGGCGACACAGTGAGGGGAGTGACTGTGTCGCTCAAACGCAGCACGTTCTTGGACGTGGTGTGCCAGGCTCTGGCCGAGTACCGCTACTTCAGCGCTGACCAACGAGCCGACCTCGCCCTGGCCTGCAAGTGAGTGTGCACTGTGCTGCGCGCACTGTACTTGATTAATCTATTCTGCTCTGTTTGCTGTACAGTAGTTGTCGTGCTTTGCTTGAAGTGTTCTGGTACCTAAAGGGTTTGGTTGCTGGATGTGGTGCAGGGTGCGCGAGAGGAAGATGTCAGTGACGGTGTTCCTGTGTGGCGCCAGTGGCTGTGGCAAGTCCACTCTCGCCTCCCTGCTGGTACGCGCCCGCCTGCCTGCCTGCCTGCCTGCCTGCCTGCCTGCCTGCCTGCCTGCCTGCCTGCCTGCCTGCCTGCCTGCCTGCCTGCCTTCCTTCCTGCGCGGATTCAGCAGCCGTGAGGAGAACCCCCTGCTGTACGCGTCCCCCATGTGGCGAGCCCTACTCCTCGCTTTATTCACTTCCTCCCCCACCTCCCTCCCTGCCTCACTCCTACTCCCACGTTAGGCCTCTCGCCTGGGCATTACAACGGTGGTGTCCACCGACTCGCTGCGCCACATGATGCGCGGCTTCAGCAGCCGAGAAGAGAACCCCCTGCTGTACGCGTCCACGTACCAGGCAGGCGAGCACCTCGACCCCGCTGCTGTCGCTGACGCCAAGGCCAGGAAGAAAGCCGGCAAGCAAGCAGGCAGGCATGGCGGCTCACTGTCAGGCAGGCCGGCAGACAAGCAGGCGGCAGCATCGACGCCTAAGCAGGGAGAAGGCCAGCAGGGAGGCAAGCTGGCAACCGAACTTGAGGGCGAGGTGGGGCGGAGAGAGGTGCAGGGTGCTCTGCCTGTGAGCGTTATGCTCAGCAGAGGCGAGGCAGTGTTGGCTTCACAGGAGGCGTGTCGGATGGGGGGAGGGCAGGGAGATGGGGAGGGGAGCAGCGAGGGAGGGGCTGTGATGGCAGGAGGAGGGCGGGGCGAGAGGGAGGAGCGGGAGATGGGAGAGGCGGATTGGGGCCGGCAGGCAAGCCTGGCGGGGGTGGATGATGGCAGGCAGGCGAGTGGGAAAGGAGGTGGAGAGGGTGGGGAGAAAGATGTGGGGAGTGGGAGGGGGGCAGTGAGTGGGAGGGGGGCAGTGAGCGAGCGGGAGATGGTGATCCAGGGGTACAAGGCGCAGAGTGAGATGGTGATCGGCAGTGTGGACCGGCTGCTCGCCAAGTGGGAACGGTGCAACGAGTCGGCCATAGTGGAGGGCGTGCACCTCAGCCTCAACTTCGTGGTAGGGCCTCTGTGCTGCTGCATGCGCGCTTAACCTTTGCGCTCAGCCTCAAGTCTCAGTTTCGAATGGCACGCAACTCAGCCTCACCTTTGTAGTGCATGCTCTGTGCTGCTGCATGCGCTTGTACATCGTCTTTGTCATATGCATGGATTGCTTTGTCGTGCGCGCCAAATATATGACATGACATGGATGTGTTGCTTTTCTTGTGGTATTCCCACGCCTATGCCCATGCCCATGCCCATACCCATGCCCATGCCCATGCCCATGCCCATGCCCATGCCCAGACCCATGCCCATGCCCATGCCCATGCCCATGCCTATGCCCATGTGTTGCCATGGCAGATGGAGCTGCTGAAGCGGCATCCCACCATCATTCCCTTCGTCATCTACATCGGCAACGAGGCGAAGCACCTGGAGCGCTTTGCCGTGCGCGCCAAGTACATGACGCTGGACCCCTCGCGCAACAAGTACGTGCGCTACATCCGCAACATCCGCACCATCCAGGACTACCTCGTCCGGCGCGCTGACAAGCACCTCGTTCCGAAGGTACGTGTGCATTGCGCCTTAGGCAGCCAGGTGCATGATTCTGGAACCCTCTTGCTACAAGCCTGTGCGCAACATTTGCACCATCCAATGCTGCTACCTCGTCAGGAGCACTGGCACGCACATTGACCGCCCATTACCTGGTGTCAGTCACGTACATGATGCTGGACCGCCCTTGTGAAGTTCGTCCATGACATAAGACTAGCTTGGGGGGAGTTCTGCCAAACACCTCGTGCCACTGTAATTTCCTGCCTGTTGACCACAGCAAGCTCCGTGCCTTGCTGCTCCCTCCCCCCTCCAACCCCCCCCCCCAACCACCCCCCCGCCCCAACAACATGCACCAGGTGAACAACACGAACGTGGATAAGAGCGTGGCGGCCATCCACGCCACTGTCTTTGCGTGCCTGCGCCATCGAGCAGCCGGCGAGAGCATGTACAGCCGCGCCACCAACACGCTCCCTCTGCTGCGCCGCGAGTACGACACACAGTACACATCATCCGGGCTGGGGTCCAAGGGCATGCTGTACCTCATCCAGAAGGAGGGCTCCCTGCGCTCCTCCGCCTCCGCCCTCCCGGATCCACTCTCTGGTTTGCCCGAGCGCGCCTTCAGCCTCCCCACATTCACCTTCCGTGCTGACAGCAGTGGGTCCGGTGCTGCTGCGGGCGACTCGTATGCACCGGCTCGTATGCAGTTTGGCCTGCCGCCTCTAGCCCCTGGTTTTCCACCTGGTGCTGGTGAGGCGCCTCAGAGCCACGGCCCGTCGTCCCTGTCAGCTGTGCCTCCTCTGCCACTCCGCTCCTTTCGAGCATCCGAGGGCCACACAGGGGCTCCTTGGGGGCAAGCAGTGTTAACAGGCGAATTCTTCTGTCCGGATGAGCTGTCAGAGGGTTACGCGTCTGGTTACAGCTCAGGGGTGCCTCCTAGAGGGCCAAGAGAGGGCTTGGCGTCAGCAGCAGCATCGATTCAGGCACAGGGTTTTCCCTGGCAGACAGGCTATGGCCAGATAACACCTCATCCAGTTGTCGCCATCCCCCTGCTGAACCTCTCAGAAACCCCGTCTGCCACGGAGGCCTCGTTGGAGTCCCCCACCGCCCTGGTCAGTTCGGGGGTCAGTGCCTGCTCTACGCCCAGGGTAGTGACGTCTGGTGCAGGCGGAACTACAGGGGGACCTGGTGCAGGTTTATCTGGTGCAGGTGGAAGTGCGTGTGCGAGCCTGCTAGCCCCCATCCATGTGCGGTTCAGCGGGCGCACGGCCTTCCCCCGCAGCAACGACGTGGGCAGCAGCAGCGGGGGGGAGGGGCTGGCGGCGCGAGAGAGGGAGAGGCACGAGAGAGGAGGAGCAGCAGGGGTGATGGGGGCGATGGGGATGAGAGGGTTAGCAAAGGCGATGGATGGGGTGAGGATGGGGGGTGGGGTGCAGCTTGCATCGCACATGCCGAGCTTCTATGCGTCGCCTGGCAGCAGCAGTGGCGCGCGGCAGAAGAAGGAAGAGGTGCGCTGATGTGCATTTGTCCATGCATGCTTTTCTGTACGCATGCATGTGTGGTGCACTCCTCTCTTCATGCTCTTTAGCCCACAGGTACCGGAGCACGTGGCAGCACGAGATGCGGATGATGATGGCACACTGAATTAACAACCAATCAGCATTCATCTGAGCGTGTGGGCATCACCCCTCGTTTCAACCCACAGGTATCGGAGCACGTGGCGGCATCAGACAGTGACGACGGCGACGAGCACATCCAGCACGTGGCTGACGTGGACTCCAATGGAGGCTTCTCCTCGGAAGGCTCGGAGCACGATGAAGAGGTGAGCGAGTCGAAAAGCATTTTGGGCTTTACCGAGATCTGCTTGGGTAAGAAAAACGATGATCTCGGTTGCCGCACCGTCGTTACTGCTGATGTGGCCTCGACTCGATTGCTGGCTTTCCCACTGAAGACTGAAGAACTAACGAAGACCTTCAAATTTGAGTGTGAGGAGATGGGCGAGTACAACGTGTGATTTAAACAAGTGTACACACGCTCCGTGCACGTGCATCCCGTTCCGTGCTTGCCTGTTGTCCGTTTCACAGTGCCTGTCACCGCAGGAGGGCTCCATTGCTGACGACGATTCCTTGAGCCTGTCAGAAGGCGGCACGGGAGAGGACAGGGGGGAAGGCGGCACACAGGAGACTCCACTGACCATTCCCTTCATGCCCCTCCGGTCATGCCACGCGTTCTCCCTTGTTTCAGGAGGGCTCTGTAGCCAGCGACGATTCCTTCAGCCTATCAGAGGGCGGCACAGAGGAGGACATGGGGGGAGACGACAGCACAGAGCCCACTGATCTGCTGCATGACCTGCTGCCGCACGACCTCTCTGCTGCAGCAGTGGCGCCGGGCGGCGAGCTGAACGTCTTCCTTGACTCGGCCAGACTGCCCCATGTGCTCTCCAGCGATTTCTACTATGGCGCTCATGGTGCTGCTGCTGCTGCTGCACCCCATCGCTACACCAACGGTGCCGCGGCCTATCAGCCCCTGAGTCACCATTCCCTTTCGCCTGGGCCTTGGGGCGACCATGGCATGGGGATGGGGCTGCAAGAGGGGGCTGTAGGAAATACAGGGCAAACAGCAGGTGTTGCAGCAGCAGCCGGTCGATTCCCGTACGTGGAGAACAGTGCTGGCCATCGTCACTTCACACAACATCTGCACCGCGTTCCCTCTGCACCAGGTGCTGCTGCAGGTGCTGCTTTTACTTCAGGTGCTGCTTCAGGTGGTGCTGCAGGTGGTGCTTCCCATGCCGGCTTGCCTCCCTGGCCCAGAGGTCACTCCGCTTCCCCTGCCCACTTTTCGCGCCATGGGGAGGCTCCCTTCGCTGCTGCCCTTCACGCTTCTCCTGCTGCTGCTGCTTCTGGTTCGGCTGCTGCTGGATTAGCTGCAGGTGCTGCATCAGCTGTTTCATCGGCAGCAGCAGTTGCCTCCAGGCCCCAGGGAGGGCGTGAGTGGGGCACAGGCAGGCGAGTTGCCTCAGGGGCAGGGGCGGGGGTGCTGCTGGGCAGGTCGAAGTCGATGGGCGGGATGAGGGAGAGGGATGCAGGGGGGAGAGAGGCTGGGCGCATGCGTGTGCGGCCATCGCGATCGGGGTCCGGAAGACGGTTCTCCGATACTGGTGGGGCGAGCCGAAGGGGATGGATGGTGCTGGAAACGATGGTGGAGCGCAGCAGGGTGGTGCAGGAGAGTGGTGGCGTGCAAGCTGAGAGCGGAGCTGTGGAGGAGGGTGGTGCTGCAATGCTGAATGAGAAAGGCTCGGTGCAGCAGCAGCATCATTGAGTGGGGCTTGTTTCTTCCAATTCCTTCGTGGCGCATGGGTGGGGTCTGGACGGATAAGAGGAGCACCGAGGGGTGTTGCAATTCGTAGCACCAGTTTTTACTACTGGTATGTGCAACACGGAGGAAGGTACCAGTTCATTCAGAGTGTCAACACGCGTGGTAATGTAGGTATGCAACAATGATAACATATGCATCTGTATGGGCAGTTGGCAAGGAGTGTTACATACAAGCTTGTGAATGTTCAGGGGCCGAAATAGCTGTAGATATTGTGCACGGGTCTGCAAAATGTCTGTATTGTAGGTATGATCCGTCCAAATGAGGGTGGCACGTACCTTGGGTGTATCCTGTGGAGTAGTGCACGGCGCCTTCGCCCGTCCCAGCCGGCCCCGCGCCCGCCCTCGCGACCTCCGCGCCCGTCCACTCGGCCCCAGCGCCCGTCCCAGCCGGCCCCGCGCCCGTCCCGGCCAACCCCGCGCCCGCCCCAGCCGACCCCGCGTTCGTCCCACTGGCCTGGTGTCCGCTGATCCTGGCCCCCGCGCCCGTCCTGCCCTGAGCTGTGTGCGGCCCGCTCGTCGTGCCTGCTCCGGCCCTGCTCCCTCCTAGTACAGTTCCCCATCACCTGCCCCGCACTGCACCACACGGTACCGCACTGCATCGCATTGCATCGCCCTGCACCGCACTGCACTTCGTTGCACCGCACTGCGCCGCACTGCATCGCACTGTACCGCGCTGCACAGCCCTAAACTGCTCCTGATGGCGGCGGAGCTTCGCTTCGACGCTGAAGGCCAGCCTCTGGAGTTCGAGGCGTGGCTCGCCGACCTCCATCGCCACCTCACTGGCCAGCGCCAGGATGGCCACCCGCTTTTCGCACACCTTGACGGTACGCTCCCCTGCCCAGACCCCCCTGCTGTGCTGCCCGCTGACCCCAAACCCGCTGAGCGCGAGTCTAGTGCAACCGCTGCCCTTGCGCGCTCTGTCTGGCTTTCCCGAGACGCTGTCGCCTAGCTTGCCATTAGCAATGCCCTTCCCCCAACTGAGCGCCCTCGCTTTAGGTCCATCACTACCGCCCAGGCTTTCTTAGATGCTGTCATCAAGCGCTATTCCACCCCTCCTGCTGCCTCGGTGGGTCGCCTGATCCTCCCGATGCTCTTTCCTGACCTTGCGTCCTTCCCCACTGTCGCTGACCTGACTGCCCACCTGCGCACGATAGATGAGACTTGGCGAACGGCTTGCACTGACGCACTGCTTAGAGCCCACCAGGCGCCCATTACCTCTACCCTCTACCTGCTTGCCACCCGCCTCCCTGACCGCCTTGCCGCCGCCCACGACCGCTTCCTTAGCATTCACCCCGGTGAGCTGACCCTCACCGACTTTGTAGACACCCTGACTGTTATTGAGACCCGCCACCGCTCTATCGCCCAGACGAGCGGTACTGTGCCGGTCCCTATCTTTCAGGATTGTGCCCCCGCTCAGTGTACCTTCTCCGACGGTTCTGTCGCTGTGGCTGAGACTGCTGCTGCCGCGCAGTTCCGTCCGGGGAAGGGCCGCCGCCCCAAGGCTGGGCGCGGCGGAGGAGGCGGGGGTGTAGGTGGGGGTGGTGGTGGAGTCGGGTCGTCTGGTGCTGGAGCGGACAAGGGGACACTGCCCGGTCCAGCTGAGCAGCCGCCTCCGCAGTCGCAGCAGCCACAGAAGCCGCAGCAGCCGCCGCAGACGAGGCAGGCGAGTGTACTCCCACCCTGGTGGCCTGGCGCTGGAGGTGGTCGTGCGCGTGGTGGTGTGCCGGGTGGTGGTTTGGTAGGCGTGCGTTGCCAGTACCAGATCCAGACCGATCCTCGTCGCGGCTACGTTTGCAGTAAGATCGGTCATACCACTCCTCGTTGTTTTCGTCGCCCGGACGACCTGTTTCGTCAGCGCTTCGGCCCGTCGCCAGACCTCCCGGACTGGCACAGTTTGCTTCGTCGTAGTATTCCGATTTTTGACATGGACATGGATGCCATTGTTTCTGCTCTGCATGTGATGTATGCTGATCACTTTAGTGTGCTTCCTGCTTATTACTCATTGTCGTCTAGTGTAGGTGTGCCTAGCTTAGCCTCCCCTGCTGCGTCAGGCGTAGGAGCCCCTGCTTTGTTTAGCCTTGGTGCTTCCGCCGTCGCCCCGTCGCCGGACGCCACTGCTTCGCTTTCTTTCACCTTGGACTCTGGCGCTTCCCGATGCTTCTTCCGCGACTTCACTACACTGACGCCGCTTCCAGTTCCTGCTGCAGTTTCCCTTGCTGACCCCTCCGGCAGTCCGGTAGTCGCCCGCAGTTCCACCACCCTTCCCTGTCCGGCAGTTCCTTCGGGCTCTCTCACAGGTCTGCATATCCCCTCGTTCTCTAGGAACCTCGTTGGTGTCGGTTGCCTCCAGGACCTTGGCGTCACCACTACGTTCCCTGGTCACGAGTGGTATGCTGTCTGTACCGAGGCCGCCACTGGTGCCCCCTTGTCCACGTTCCCCCGGGACCCGGTGTCCGGCCTGTTCACCCTGGACACCGTGACCCCCCCGGCTGGGGCGCCTCTTCAGGTGGCTGCGTCTACCCAGGTTGCTGCTGCCTGCTCCTGTCGGTCCCTCACTCACCCGACTCTCCTTTGGCATCACCGCCTAGGTCACCCTGCGCTCCCGCGTCTGCGTCACATGTCCCAGCACGGTCTCGTCCTTGGTCTCCCTGGTTCTCTCCCCGCTTTTCCCTCCTCCCCCGCCCCACCTTGCACGCCTTGCATTGAGGGTCAGCTTCGCCTTGCCCCTCACTCCTCCTGGTTTCCCCCTACCGCCGCGCCGCTGCAGACCCTGCACATGGACGTCTGGGGCTCTGCCCCCGTCCATGGGCCGCGTCGAGAGCGCTACTTCCTCGTGCTTGTCAACGACTTCACTCGCTACACCACTGTCTTTCCCCTGGAGCGGAAGGCCGACGTGCCTGACGCTCTCATCCCCTGGCTTGTCTCTGCGCGCGTCCACCGAGGTCTCCCTGTCTTGCGCCTTCACTCAGACCGTGGTGGCGAGTTTGCCTTACGTGTCCTTGGTCGCTTTTGTCGTGCGGAGGGCATCACCCAGACGTTCACCCTGCCGGACTCCCCACAGCAAAATGGGGTCAATGAGCGTCGCATCGGCTTGGTCATGGAGGTTGCTCGCACCTCCATGATCCATGCCGGTGCACCCCATTTTCTGTGGCCATTCGCTGTGCGCTACGCTTCTCACCAGCTTAACCTGTGGCCGCACCCTCAGCAGCCGCAGGTTTCGCCGACCCGTCTTTGGACTGGGTCCCCTGGTGACGCGTCTGCCTTCTACGTCTGGGGCTGCCTTGCTCACGTCCGTGCCTCCGGCACAGACAAGCTCACTGCCCGCACCCTTCCCTGCGTCTTCCTAGGTTTTCCCCTTGACGCGTCCGACTGGCACTTCTACCACCCGCCGTCTCACCGCTTCTTTCACTCTCGTGACGTCACCTTTGACGAGTCCGTCTCCTTCTACCGTCGCTTCCCCCACCGCGGTTCCCCGGTTACCCCCCCCCTGTTCCTGGTCACTCCTTCCCTGGTGGTCCCTGTCCCCCCCCCTCCCCCTCCCCGTCCTGCCCCCTCTGGTGTGTCCCACGTCACTCCTCTCCCGTCGGTTGTCCCGGTTGAGGGGTCTTCTGACTCTGGTGGTCCTGCGGTGCAGTCCTCGCCGTCTGCCCCTCCCCAGGCGTCTCCTCCTCCACCGCCTCTGCAGCCGCCGTCGCCTAGGCTGTCACCGCCGTCGTCCCCGCAGCTGCCGCCGCCGTCGCAGCAGCCGTTCGTTGCCTCTGGGGGTGCTGGCGTTGGAGTGGGTCCTCGCCCCGTTGGCCCTGGGGCTGGTGCCGGTGCCCGAGGGGTCTCGGGCCCTGGGTGTGTTCCTTCTGTGGGTGCTTGAGTGGAGTCTGCCGGTGGTTCCCGAGGAGCGGCTTGCGGTCCCGGTGTCGGCGTTGTGCTGCCGCAGCCGCAGTCCCCGCCGGTGTCCGCCCTTCGCCTGCTCGGCCTTCCATCCCCTGACCCTGCGTCTGTTCCTCTCCTGCCGTCTCCCCCTCTTCCAGTCTACGACCCGGTGTTCCCTCCTCCGGACTCGTCCCCGGCTCGTCTTCCCCCTCGCTCTCCCCTTGTGTCCCCTCCTCTGTCTCCTGACCCGACTCCTCCGTTTCACGTCTGGTCCCGCCGCCCCTCACGTGCTCGTCCTGTCTCCCCTGTCATGCGCTCTCACCTTATGTTGCTTCGTTCCCACGCATCTCGTTCTCCCCTTCTCCCGTCCCCTCCTCCGTCCTCCCTTGTCGGTGCTCCCCCCCCTCTGTCTGACTACCTTCGTGCCGCCCGTCCTCTTGTTCCTCGGGTCCTTGCCTCTCTCGTTACCGACCCGTCCGTTCCTGTCTCGTGTCTTGACGCTCTTGTCGCTGCGGTCGCTGACTTCGCCTCTACCTGCCGCCTTGATACACAAGACCAGGGTTCCCTTGAAGGGCGCATCAATCTTGAGCCATCGTTTCAGGAGCGCATCAGTCTTGAGCCGTCCTTTCAGTAACACATCAGTCTCAAGCCATCCTTTCAGGAGCGCATCAGTCCTGAGCCATCATTTCAAGAGCGCATCAGTCCTGAGCCATCCTTTCAAGAGCGCATCAGTCTTGAGCCATCCTCAGGAGCGCATCAGTCTTGAGCCATCCTTTAAGGAGCGCATCAGTCAGTCTTGAGCCATGCTTTAAGTAGCGCATCAGACTTGAGCCATCCTTTAAGGAGCGCATCGCTCTTGAGCCATCCTTTCAGGAACGCATCAGTCCTGAGCCATCCTTTCAGGAGCGCAACAGTCTTGAGCCATTCTTTCAGGAGCGCAATAGTCTTGAGCCATCCTTTCAGGAGCGCATCAGTCTTGAGCCGTCCTTTCAGTAGCGCATCAGTCTTGAGCCATCCTTTCAGGAGCGCATCAGTCCTGAGCCATCCTTTCAGGAGCGCATCAGTCTTTAGCCATCCTCAGGAGCGCATCAGTCTTGAGCCATCCTTTCAGGAGTGCATCAGTCTTGAGCCATCCTTTCAGGAGCGCATCAGTCTTGAGCCATCCTTTCAGGAGCGCATCAGTCTTGAGCCATCCTTTAAGGAGCGCATCAGTCAGTCTTGGGCCATGCTTTAAGGAGCTCATCAGACTTGAGCCATCCTTTAAGGAGCGCATCGCTCTTGAGCCATCCTTTCAGGAGCACATCAGTCCTGAGCCATCCTTTCAGGAGCGCAACAGTCTTGAGCCATCCTTTCAGGAGCGCAACAGTCTTGAGCCATCCTTTCAGGAGCGCATCAGTCTTGAGCCGTCCTTTCAGTAGCGCATCAGTCTTGAGCCTTCCTTTCAGGAGCGCATCTGCCTTGAGACATCCTTTCAGGAGAGCATCAGTCTTGAGCCATCCTTTCAGGAGCGCATCAGTCTTGAGCCATCCTTTCAGGAGCGCATCAGTCTTGAGCCATCCTTTCAGGAGCGCATCAGTCTTGAGCCGTCCTTTCAGTAGCGCATCAGTCCTGAGCCATCCTTTCAGGAGCGCATCAGTCTTTAGCCATCCTCAGGAGCGCATCAGTCTTGAGCCATCCTTTCAGGAGCGCATCAGTCTTGAGCCATGCTTTAAGGAGCGCATCAGTCTTGAGCCATCCTTTAAGGAGTGCATCAGTCTTGAGCCATCCTTTTAGGAGCGCATCAGTCCTGAGCCATCCTTTCAGGAGCACATCAGTCTTGAGCCATCCTCAGGAGTGCATCAGTCTTGAACCATCCTTTCAGGAGCGCATCAATCTTGAGCCATCCTTTTAGGAGCACTCACTACCCCACCAGCAAAGCAGCAGTTCGTCAGGCCTTCGACCCTCCACTGGTTTCAGCAACCCACTCCCACAAAGACCCTGCAAAAGCAGGGTGCAAAAAGGGTACTGCCATCCTCGTGTTTCCCCACCCACACCCTTCGCTTGCCTGCACCTCCCCAGATGTTGCTATCTGTGTGCTGCACTGCATTCCAACCCCCCCACCCCCTCCCCCCCCCCCAACCTGCTGCTGACCCCCCTTTAGATTTTTATTTATTTATTTATTTCAAGGTAAACTTATTTCATCACTCTTGAAAAAAAAAATCGGCGACAGCCAGAGTTGATTCTCACAGCAGAAGTCAAGGCCGCCATGGTCGCCTTGAGCTGGCTGCCAGCACCACCTTGGACGAGCTGTTGGCTGCTTCAAGCTGCACTTCCCGCACCTCCCTCTGCCCTGCAGCACATGACGGCCTCGAAATCAGGGTCGTTCCCTCCACGCGCTTCAAGACGGTTCCCTTGCTGCTCGGTTTGGGGATGCGTGATGGCAGCAGCGGCGGTGTTCCAGCAGCGGCCGACAGCTTTGCTGCTGTCTTCGTGCCAGCAGCTGACGATAGTGTTGCGACAACTGACGCCACTGGATCCGAAGTTGAAGACGGAGACAATGCGGCTGCTGATGGGAACGCTGCCGAAGCCGGCGGTGCACAATTCGACGCTGCAGAAACTGACGCTGTAGAATTCGACGTTGTAAGATCCGACGGTGCTGAGTCCGATGATGCTACAGAATCCAATGTTGAAGCATCCGACTTCTCACAATCCGACATCGCACAATCCGACGTTGCACAATCCGACGTTGCACAATCCGACGTTGCACGATCCGAAGCTGAAGAATCCAATGCTACAGATTCTAGTGGTGCTGAGATTAGCAGCATTTGATCTGACGTTACACCTTCTGACGTTACAGCTTCGGTCGATTCCGAAGTCGACGGGCCTGACCTTGAGAGTTCTAGCGAAGTCACAGTTGGCAGCTCGAGTAGCATTAGAGCTGCAGTCGTGGCGTGGCGGGAACAGGCTTCGTTGCAGCGGAGTGTCGACTCGGAGTCGGTGGCACTGCAGCGGTTCGTCTGTCTCGGAAGACTATTTGACGAGGTCAGTGGCGGTATGCATGCTACCGTCGATTTCTCGCTGCTGATA